CCAGGGGCACACACCACAATCCCAGGGCAAAGAGCAGGACATGCCGTGGCTGTCTGGAAGACACATTTCTCTGTCCTGCTGTCCATCAGCCCTCGTGTGCTGGGAGAGCGCTTGTCCCTCTCCTCCAGGAGAGCGTAGGGGTTCCCCTGGGGGCCGTAGGTGCCAGGCCCAGGAAAGCAGTCCTGCAGGAGAGATGGGACAGGATGGGCAGCCCCCAGTCAGCTCTGCTGACAGGGAAAATGCTCACAAGGATGCCAGCAGCTCCCAAGTCAGGCTGCAATGTACCCGCTGGCTTTCCCTGAACCTCTGCTCCCTTGTGTCACAGATGCCCCTCAGGCTCGAAGGCTGTGTCTCCTGCAGAAAATCCCTGATGTTGTACGTTCCTGGGCCCAGCCTCTCTTGCTGCAGAAGGAAAAATATGGTAAGGATAGGCTGAGCATCAAAGGCAACACTGCCAATGCTTCTTGGATGCCAGGACAAGGAGGGTGGATCAAATCTGTCTCTTACCTGCTGTTTGCGTTTCTTTAGCATCACCTTGAGCTGGAAATGGGGCAGTTGAATTGCCCGGGATCCTGCCTCTGCTCTGGCCCAGCCAGAGGCCAGTGCTGTCCCCTGCAAGGCAGAGCCAGAGCACAACTGTCCATACACCACTGCTTCACATGCTGTCTCTGTCACTCATCCCAGATTAAAGCACTAATAAAGGGTTTTGCTGATGGGTGGGAAGTGGCTCCTCAGAGCACGAGCCCACATCCCACATAGACACTCTAGGGTGCTCCCCAGTGGGTGCCTCTGACTGCTGTGCAAAGTAGGCATGACAATTCAGGAGCTACATCAGGAATTTCTGCTCTCTCCACTGTGAGCCCAGTTGGTGGCCTCACCTGGCTGCCCATGTTCCACACTGGTGGCTCTGGTCACCAGGGCCGCTGTGACATCCTTCACCATGGCAGCCTTCACCATGGCAGCCCTCACCATTGTCACTTGCCACTCATTCTGAGGTGCTGTAGCTACAGTATATTGGGGGCTGCAGCCTGGCTGCCCCAAGCCCTGCAGTCCTCACTGCAGGATTCCTCAATCTCTCTGAGCCATGCATGCTGGCAAAGCAAGTGCAGTTTCACTGAGCACAGCCCACGCTTGACTCCCACCAGTGATGCAGTGCCCCCTTCCTGGCACACAAATTACCACGTGAAGTATGACCCGGTTCTGCCCCAGCGCTGTAAGGGTGCAAAGGATGGTGTCCCCACACAGCACCTCCAAGGGGTTGTATTGAACACATAGAGATTTGTTAGATACTAAAGTTTATCTCACAAGCCAGCAACATAGCCAAAATCAGTGCCTGACCAGCCCCAGCATCACAGGCTGTGACCCAAAAAGCAGTTGAAGCAGCATAAAAGAAGCAGCAGTTTTTAAAGCTTCACCTCGGGGCTGTTCTGCTGTCTGACACACATTCAGATCTGCAGACACGCAGAGCTGGCGGCTGTTTCCCAGCTGCTCTGTGATGGGGGCAGCCTATGCCACCTCTTCCCCCTGGAGGAGCAATCCCAAGGAGCACAGGAGGTTCTAGGACGAGCCCTGCAATTACCATTTTATTGGACATAAAAACATCACCCTGGAGTTGTAAATTACAGAAGCATCACAGGAAGGAATGGAAGCACTCAGGAAGTTCAGCCAGACAGATGTGCAAGGCAGCACTACTCATGGACCCTCCCAGCTGTGTAAGATCATGGCCAGGGTCAGCCAGGATGTAGCCAGTGTGACTGGGCGAGGGCTGAAACCTCATTTTGATCCCTCTCAGCACAGCTGGAAAAGATAAAAGAGTGCAGACAGGCTCCCAGGCACCGAGCCTCCAAGCTCCTCATCCAGCACTGTCTGCTGGTTTAATGAGAGATATCAGCTTTCCCTGCAGATCTTGTCTCTCGTATAGCCTCAAACCCTCCCACTTAAAACACTGCCCTGCAAATCAATCCAAGATGTTTTGCCTCTTTGATCTGCTCAGCAGGCAGTAAGTCATTGACAGAAACACATTTTGCTTCAGCAGCTCCAGCAGGCGATGGAAACAGGGCAGGACCATTTTCCTGCCCTGCAGCAGGACCTGCACACCACAGCACAGGGCGTCCTGCAGGACCTGCAGCTCAACTGCTGTGTATCCCAGACTGTGTGTGCACTGCTACTGGATTGCAGCAGGGAGCATGCCAAGGAAACCATCACCGAGATAAGAGTGCAGGTGCTCTGGGAGGGAAGCACCATCCTGGAGCCAGAAACCTGCAGCCAGACCCTGGCTCAGAGCTGCGGAGCAGCTTCCCTGGGTCCCTCTGGGCAGTGCTTGCAGTTCATGCTTTTAGCGGCTGCAGTGCTCCTGACTCAGAAGCATCAACAGTGAGCCCTTTAATCTGTTTATCTTTCCCATTTCCTCATATAAATCGCAGTGCACATTAGTGCACATTCCTCATCACAGAAGAATTATGAAGATTTCCCCAAATCTCGTTTTTAAATAAAAAGAAAAGCTTATTCTTACTTCTTTATATTTAAAAAGGGATAACTTAAGCCCCTATAAAACCAGGCTCAGCAAAGTGACATCTCCCCTGGCGAAGTGCTCTTTGGAGATGGTGCATCCTCCAGCTCCAGCTCCGGCCTCCAGCTCCCATGGTCTTGCAGAGCGTGAGCTGAGGTTGGACAGAGACCAGATCCTGACAGAAGAGGCCCACAGCAGCGTGAAGGGGCTTCTCCGTGCCCGAGTACAAACGCAGGCACAGTGCAGGCGGGCTTCTCGCTTGACGGCGGCTGCCCGCAGACAGCCATCGGCCCCCAGCCCTGCAGCAGGACCCCAACCGCACAGCCTGCGGCGCGACCTCCGCACAGCAGGCGGCGCTGATGAGCAGCCATAGAGTCAGCGGCACGTTCTGCTTCCGGGAAGGAAGACGGTGCGGTGTATCACGTGACTTGGGCGGTGCGGACGGTGCGGGCTCTGCCGGCGCGCGCGGCTGGGCCGCGGGGTGCGCGCGTGCATGTGCAGAGCGCGTGTCCGCGCGCGCTCACGCGGCGCCTGTGTTCACGTGGGGTGCAGTACCTGCAGGCAGGTGCTGCCCAGCCTGGGGGCTGGTAAGAATCGGTGCTGGGGCTGCAGTGCCACCCAGCACGAAGCAGCACGTGGCAGCGGTGCACCCTTTTTGTCGCCACCAGCACTCTGAGCTGCAGCACCTTGCGTGTAACTCCTTGTTTTGCTGCTTCCTCCCTACAGGCGGGATGCTGGGCTTGCGGATGGGGCTCCCTGTGCTCAGAGCAGCAGCAGGACCGCAACTGCAGGCCCGCAGCTTCCAGCACGACGCTTCAGCTCATGCCCGCCTATTGCTCTCGCAGCTCTTCCAGCCTCTGAACCTGCAGGTGGGTGGTGTGGCAGGATGCGAGGGCCAGGCGGCGGAGCTGAGCTGCCGCAGCCACCGGCTGATGCTGCAGGGTGGCCTCATCCACCCCGCCAGCCCCGGCTGCTACCACCTCCTGCCACCTGCCATGCGTTCCATGGAGAAGCTGATCCGCCTGATCGACGGCGCCATGCGGAACATCGGCGGGCAGAAGGTGAACATGCCCAGCCTGAGCTCTGCTGAGCTGTGGCGGGCCAGCGGGCGCTGGGAGCAGATGGGGCCGGAGCTGTTCCGCTTGGCTGACCGGCACGGCAAGGAGTACTGCCTGGGCCCCACGCATGAGGAAGCTGTCACTGAACTGGTGGCCGCACATAGCAACCTGTCCTACAGGCAGCTCCCACTGCGCCTCTACCAGGTGACCAGAAAGTTCCGGGATGAGCCCAAGCCCCGCCTTGGCTTGCTGCGTAGCAGGGAGTTCTACATGAAGGACATGTACACCTTTGATGCCTCAGAGGAGGCAGCACGTCACACCTATGAGCTGGTGTGCAGAGCCTACTGCAGCCTCTTCAAGCGCCTGGGCCTGCGCTGCGTCCAAGTGCGGGCAGCCACTGGCACCATTGGTGGCACTGCATCCCATGAGTTCCAGCTGCCGGCTGACATCGGCGAGGACAGGTTGGTGCTGTGCCCTGCTGGGCATTTCGCAGCTAACGTGGAGATGATGGATGAAGAGCAAACAGCGTGCCCTACATGTGGAGAAAAACTCACCCAGAGCAGAGGGATCGAAGTGGGGCACACATTTTATCTGGGCACCAAGTATTCCTCTGTCCACAATGCCATCTTCTACACCCCTGAGAACAAGCTCCAGCTAGCAGAAATGGGCTGCTACGGTCTGGGTGTCACTCGCATCCTGGCAGCATCCATTGAGGTGCTGTCTACAGAGGACAGCATCCGCTGGCCGAGCCTCATTGCACCCTACCAGGCGTGCTTCATCCCCCCCAAGAAAGGCAGCAAGGAGGAACAGGGAGCTGTGGTGCTGGAGCAGCTCTATGATGATGTGGCTGAAGCTCTGCCTGGCCTGGTGGGCGATGTGGTGCTGGATGATAGGACGCAAATGACAATTGGCAAAAGGCTGAAAGATGCCAACAAGCTGGGGTACCCTTATGTGGTGATAGCCGGGAGGAGAGCTTGTGAGGACCCCCCGGTCTTTGAGGTTTGGGATCAGAGCTCTGGCACGGTTTTGTACCTCACCAAGGAAGGTGTCATTGAGTTACTGAGTAAAGTGCAACTCCCTTGAAATCCCCGCCTCCAAATCTTATCATGTTTGCAGCGCGGAGTGGGCCTGAACAGCGCGGTTCGTTGTTTAGGAGCTGCTTAACAGCAGTGCTGCGGCGCGGGGACGCGCCGGGTCAGCCCGCGTTCCCTGTGGGACTGTCCTCGTGGTTCATCATAGAGCAGTTACGGTTGGAACAGACAGCAGGTCCGCAGCCCACCAACCCCGTTCCTCTGCGGCAACCCCGCAATGTTGAACACCTGTAGGACGAGGGCAGCCATTTGCAGCCCCATCCCTATTGCCGCACGCACGGGCGCCCCGCTCCCCACAGCGGGCAAAATGGCGGCGCGGAGCCGGAAGGGGGTGGGGTGTGGGCCGGAAGGGGGCGACACGAGACCGGAAGTAGCAGAGCGGACGGGCTGGTAGCAGCATGGCGGACGCCGGGGAGAGCGGCGATGCGGTGCCGCGGTACCGGAACGGCTTCCATCCCGACACGTGGGAGCAGGTGAGGCGGCGACGGGGCCGGGCGGGCGTTACGGCCGGCGGTGCGGGCTGACGCGGTGTGCCCGCAGGAGCTGGAGGCCATCCCTATGTTTATGAAGAGCTGCCCTGCCGAGATCGACGCGTCGCGGCAGCCCGCCCTGGCCTGCCTGCAGTCCCTGCTGTTCGACGAGGAGAAGGAGCCCGCAGGTGGGCGGCGGGGCGGCGGGTGCACCCACAACCCTGAGGGCGGGTTCTACCGGAGCCGTGCAGCCCACCTCACGCCGCGCCTCCCCGCCCCGCAGAGCTAGCCGCCATGTACAAGAACGAAGGGAACGCGTACTTTGGGGAGAAGGACTACGGCAGGGCCGTGCGGGCCTACAGCGAGGGGCTGCGGCAGCGCTTCGGGGACGTGGAACTACGAGCCGTGCTGCTGTCCAACAGGGCGGCCGCGCACTGCCGCCTGGGTGAGCCCCCGCCCGCTGTCCCTCCTTTGCCGAACGGGCCGGTGATGCAGTTCTCGTGTTTTGCCGCCTGTGGGACCCAGTTGTACCTGAAATGTGCAATCCAGGCTTCTGAGCTGCTTTCCTTTGCCCGCAGGTAACTACCGCTCTGCTCTCGCTGATGCAACCCAAGCAAGGAAGCTGAAGCCCGACCACCTCAAAGCCATTGTGAGGGGTAAGGGCAGTGCACAATGGCCACAAAGCCACCTCCTCCTGCCCCAGCTCTGCTATCCTGTGCCCAGCCTTGGCTGTGGGCACCTCCAAGGATGGGGTACCATAGGCTGTACCATTCTGCTGGTGCCTTGGCTGCAGAAATGTTTCAGATTCTCTCCCAGCTTATTAGACCTACTGGCAGTCTGCAGCTCAACACAACCCCATAGTGCAACAGAGTGTATTGCTTTAGAAGGCACCAGAATTAACACTGACTTTATAACCACTGCCTTGTGTAAAAGCTCTGTGCCAGCTCCAATACCAGGCGCTTAAAAGCCTTAATCCTTCCAGGAGCTCTCTGTCACATGGAGCTAAAGAACTACTCTGAAGCCGTAGCGTGGTGTGAGGAGGGCTTGCGAATAGATTCAAAAGAGAAAAAGCTTCTGGAAGTGAGATCTAAAGCTGACAAATTAAAGGTAAATGTTACAGCAGACTGGCATGCTTGTTGCAGGGGTGATGTGTGCTGCTTACTAGAAACACAACCTAGAAACACATTGTGGAGAGTTCTCCATTCAGGTTTCTGCGTAATATAATTTCTCCTCAAATGTGGTTCCACATAATAATGTTGCTGAGCTGTGCAGAGAAAACAGCTGGGGCCTTCCTGGAGCCTCCACTTGTCAGCAGAGTAGTGCTGGGCCTTGGCTTTCTATGCATGACTGTGATATAACTCCTTGTTACATGCAGCGAGTTGAGGAGAGGGATGCAAGAAAGGCAAAGGCAATGGCGAAGAAAGAACAGAGTCAAAAGGAGCGTTTGCTTGCAGCAATAAAGGTGGGTCTGTGAGAGGACTTGTTTTGGTGGTGGTTCTTTTGGGGGGGGTTGTAGGGAAAGGGACAAGGGGCTTGGGTTAAGGACTTGTTGAGCGTGGCTAGCTCTATCCTGAGCTCCCAGGGCTGTACCCCTTTTTAGGTAACAACTAATGCAAAATAAGAGCTTACTTATTTTCCTTCCTCTCTCCTAGGAAAGAAATATCAAGCTGGTTGTTGAACCTTCAAGTGAAGAAGAAGAAATATCAGGTAGTCTGGCTGAGATATGTCTGAATGGTTTCCACTCTGACAGTGCCACAGGGGCAAAGGTGCACTTAGATGCTGATGGCAACCTAAACTGGCCTGTTCTCTTCCTGTACCCTGAGCATGAACAAACAGACTTCATCAAGGCTTTTCATGAGAACTCCAGGTAAATGCACTATCTGCAGCATTCTTTCATGAAGGAAAAGTTTGAGTGAGTTAGAACAGCTGGTAGGGGAAATGCTGTCATTACCACTGAAGTAGCTCCAGATTTCTAATCTCACAGCTGGCCAAACAAGGTTAAAACAACTTGGAATTTGTAATGTTTTTGTAGGCACAGATCCACCCACAACTTTGCAATTAAAAATGACAGTGCAAACAGATGAATAAAGCCGGAGTTCTTAGATAGTATTTTAAGTATGTCTTTCCATTTTCACATTGTTTGGTGGTGGATTCTCAGAACTAACTGACCAGCTCTCCTGCTGTACCAAAATAAACAGCCAGCTGACATACAGATGTGTTCTGAGCACTGATGTGGTGAAGCGTGGCATTGTTGAGACCCTGCAGATGAAAAATCAATTGTGAAAGAAATGCACAGTGCTCGCTTTTACACCTTCTGTATTGTGAAAATGGAAATTAAAAACAACTTGCTGTTGCACTGTTCAAGTTTAAAACCATTGGTATGAGTTGTAGTAGGGTATGGTCTCATTGAGAAAGCAGTGAGTTTAAAGAGAAGAAGCTATTTGTTTTTACAGTGATCTAAATCTATTTTCAAGTCCATTGCCTAATTTGCTGATGTATTTTTACTGTCTTTCATGTGCCAATTGTACAGACCAGGCTGAATGCTAAGCTAAAATGTGTGTTCTGGCTTCTAGATTTATCGATCATTTAATGGTGATGTTTGCTGAGTTACCTCCTTGGGATTTAGAGAGAAAGTACCTTCCCAGCAATCTCCAGGTGAGAAACTGGACTTCTATTTGAGTGTGTTGATTTGTGAAATGTTGCTTGGTTGGTTTTGGTGTTTGTTTTTTGTTTGTTTGTTTTTTTTCTCTGAAGTGAGACTAAGCATCTGTGTGTGTATGAAAGCAATAGCATAATTACCTGTTCACCACCCATGGCTGTGAAATAGTGATTTGGAGAGCTACATTCACTTGTCAGCACATCTGGAAAATGTTCAGTTTACATAGGCAGAGCTTATTAACAAAAATGAAAGTACTTTCTATCATACACAGCGTGTGTGAAATATAAGGTGTTTACAGATACTGTTAGGAAATTAGGAATCAAAAGAATAACTGAGATTTAGGCCAGGGAGCTGGTACACTGTACATAAAGAAGTGTAGATGGTGCTGTCTCATTTTCCACCTCAGTGTGGCATGCACTGGGCAGCCTGCAGTGCAGCAAGCAGTCAGGTACTAAAGGACCTTGTCTGTGGCAGAAATTGTGTGCCTGCTGCCACTGCTGTCAGAAAGCAAGCTGGTGTATGCCAGAAAGACTTCGAATATATATGGAGGACTGCACTGCTTAAATTAGTGTCTGATGCAGTCAGTTCAAGGTAGAGAAACTTGTGAAACCTCTATGAGTTGCATGCTGTGCTCTTACTGGACTTAGTAGTTTGTCTTCATATGGCTTAAGCATGTAACTCTCCCAAATTTCCTCAGCTCTATTTTGAAGATGAAGAAAGAGCAGAAATGTATGAGCTGAACCCAGCACACACATTGCTACAAGTGCTGCAGCACCAAAGGTGAGGCTCTACCTGCATGTCTCTCGTAAGAGTAGACTTTGGGCTTTAAGTGCAGTTTTTTCCTTCTGATTTAATAGCACTTGCTCTATGGGGGGGAGGTGTAGAGCACCAGGGCCACATAGTTTTTGTGCCTGCTTTGGTGATTAGTGTTCCTTCCCTCCCCAAAAAAATGCACAACTCTCCAGGACTAGGTGGAGGTGGGAGGGAAATGGGACTACACACAAGCAGCAGCACTAGAGGGGCTGTTTTATACCCATCTAAACAGTGCAACTTATAAAAAGGCAGCAGCAGTGTGTAAAGAGAGCGTGTTGAAGGTTAACAATGCTCTCACTGTTAAGAATGCTGTGTGAGCAGTCCCCAGCACAGCATGCAGCGCAGTTTCGGTCTCTGAAATTGACTTTCAAGTACTGTGCCATTGTTTAGAGAAAAGAGTCTGCTGTTGAGAAACCAAAAAAAGTATTGTAGAGCTGGTGCTGTTAACTTGCAGCAGCTTGTAGCTGGCTGGGGATGCCTGCAGCACAGCTCCAGCAGAATGGTCTGTCACAGGGGGAGCAGAGCTCAAGCTCTGCTGCTGTGGACTGTCTGAACTGGCACTCCATAAAACTCAGCAGTGTGCATAAGCCCTCAGATTTTTCAAGCTGTAAGGGCACTTGCAAAAGAAACCTCTTTCCAGGGACAGAACAACAGCTCTCTATTTTAATTGGGGTGGTTTGTTGGGAGAATCATTGATTCATAACACTGCTCCTTGGATAAGGGTAGCCCTGGCTCTGAAAGGCTCTGCTGGTCATCAAAAGCAGCCTGTCATCCTTCGGGAGGTCAGGCTGTGCTGTGCTGGGCAAAAGCTGCTTGCATGATGCTTGGCCAGGCAGAGGGAAGCTAGAGGACTCTCTTTAATCTTGCAGGTATTTTGTAAAGGCGGGGACTCCGACAGTGCTGGCTTTTGTGAAGAGTTCTCCCTTCTCTAAGAAGTATTTCAGTGGCAAGAAGGTGCATCGGCTGTAATGAGCAGGAAGGAACCGAGGAATCATGTGCAAGGGCTTGCTGTTCCATCTCGGCTGCAGACAGCAAACTTCTGCTTGCACAGAAATGCCTTGCACACTTCAGGGGAGAAATAGTCTTGGCACACACAGAAACTTCCAGCAAAGAAGCGTAGAAGGAGAATGAAGGGCTTACAAGAGGGGATTATTTGTTTAAATAGAAATCCAGCTGGCTTGCAGAAGGTCTCCTCTATGACAGGCTGCATGGGGCTTTGAAATAAACCTGAAACAGTGCCAGACATTGGCTGCAGCTGAAGCAACAGCAGCTGGGAATGTACTTACCTGTGAAAAATCACTGATTTCCTGCGAGGAGGGCTGTAGTTGCCAGGGTTTAATAGCAGTGCTCTGGGGTGAGTTACCTGCCTGCTGCCACGAGCTGAGTGCAGCTAGGCTCCTGCATGGGCCATTGCAGCTCTGAGGATTAGCAGCAGCTGGTTTTCACTGCTCAGAGCTGCTGCTGGCCAGGGGAGAGCAGAGCTCTTTGTCTGGAGCAGCATGTTTTACTGACTCTTTTGCTACCTATATAAACTGGAGCTAGACATGTCTATTTTAAGCAGGCTGATTCCTGTCTAATAAATGAGGTGATCCTTTTTTCTCACCGTATGAAATACTGAAAGTGAATTCTGACAGTAATTCTGACAGTAATTCTGAGCTCAAACATAACAGTTTTATCCATCCGGTTAACTTGTAGTGCCAACATACAGGATCATCTGTGCTTCTGTAGGAGCTTGTAATTAAAAATAATTCTAATTTCTTTCTCCCTGAGCTGCCCTGGTGAGCAGTGGGGAGTTTTAAGAACAGTAAGTGCACAGAGCAACAGAAAAGCTCTTCAGCCATAAAAACTTCTGCTTACAGCATGGAGGATTATTCTCTGTCCAGTGCTGTGTTCAGGCAGCTCTAAGAAAGTAAACAGAATTCCATGTTGCTATTTCTCAGTTACTGCACTGTGCACAAATACAGTAAAAAATATCAACAGGGTTGCTTTGCAGCCACACAAGGTAGAGAGGTGGGCAGTCAGTAGGACAGACTTTGGCTCAGTGCAGGTCTGCAGGTCAAGCAGCAGTGTTGCAGAGCAAGGATACGGTATGGGATGAGCTGGTGGCACACGTGCAGGACTTGCGCCCAGCCTGACCTCCTGTGGCTGCCTTCCATGGGGTGCATGGCTGTCATGGTGTTGGAGATGGCCTGTCCAAACCCTTGCATGTTCAGCATGGAGGCAGCAATGAAAAAAAAGATGATGATGATCTACAAGGGGAAGAGAGCCTGCTGTAAGCAGCTGCTGTGTGTGGTTTCTTCCCCCACCCTTCTTACATGCAAAGCTTGCTGAAGTCTGGATGCTAATTGCTTGCTTTTAACCAAAGCCACATGTGGACCTCAGCACTGTTTGCAAGCCAGCCCCAGCGGAGTAGAATGAAGTGGGACTCAGTGGAGGAAGGGATTGGGGCTGGGGCAGCCAGTTGGCATGTTACAGCAGTATCCTGAGCTGTATCCAGAGCAGCATGGCCAGCAGGTCAGGGGAGTGATCCCACCCCTCTGCTCTGCCCTTCTGATGCCTCATCTGGAGTACTGCATCCAGATATAGAGTCCTCAGTGCATGGGAGACATGGACCTGTTCAAGTGCATCCAGAAAAGGGATGCAAAAATGATCCAAGAGATGGAACGCCTCTCCTGTGAGGATAGGCTGAGAGCTGGGGCTGTGCAGACTGGAGAAGGCTCCAGGAAAACCTGAGAGCAGCCTGTGAGTATCTAGTGGGAGGCTGTAAGAAGGAAGGAGAGAGATTCTTTAGCAGGGCCTGTTGTGGTAGGACAAGGGGAAATGGTTTCAGACTAAAACTGGGGAGATGCCCCCTCCCATGGGTCAGGCTGGATGGGGCTCTCAGCACCTGATGGAGCTGTGGGTGTCTCTGTTCATTGCAGGGAGTGGGACCAGATGGTCTTTAATGACTCCGATTCTACCTGGGCTGTTTCCTCTTTGCTGAACAGCTCAGGGGTGGTATGTGGTGAATGCCTTCGGGCACAAGTGAGAGGCAACTGCCCATCATCAACCCTGTGGGGGAGAGCCCCTCCCAGGCCAAGTGCAGGGACCTACCAGCCACAGAGCTCACACAGATCTGCACTCCCCAGGAGGGGGGCAGGAAGACCAGCTGCAGCAGTTGACAGCATTGGAAGGCTCTGCATTGCTCAGCACTGTGTTCTGGTTGGGGCTGGGTCCTTCTGTGTCAGCCAAGCCACCCCCCAGCTCGGTGCTGAGCTGGAATTACTGCTCAATTCAGCTGCAGCATCATGACCCAAAATCACCGTTCCTGCAGTCACCCAGGTGGGGACCTCTCTGGGGAATCCTGCTCTGGCTCCTGCACCCCAAAACCTCCACCCCAAGCATTAAAAAGTACAGTGCTTTGGGAAGGAGAGAGGTCAGTCAAAGTTCAGCATTGGGGTGAATACATCACTGTGTGCACTTAATCAAGCAGCAGCCATTCCTGCAGATAAGTTGGAAGGATGGCTCGAGTCCTGGTGATAAAGAGGCAGGATTGCCCTGAGTTTTGGGAGATAAGGAGTCACTGTAAAAACTGAGTGTTTTGTGCCATGTTTAGCTTGAAACAGCTTTATCTGGTGGTGATAAGAGGGCAGGGGAGGTGGAGGCTCACAGGGGATGACTATAATTCAAGGTACGGTGCAGATCTAACTGCCAGGGCAGCAGCACCACAGCCCCCAAAGCAGACCTTCAGGCAGGTAAAGGTTTTTCCTTCTGATGCACTTTTATTGCCACTCCTTCCACACAGAGCTGTAGTCAGCAGCAGGACTGCAGGGCAGTGTGATGGGATTGGGATCTCAGCCCAGTGTGGGCATCCCATCAGCATCTTGGGTTGGGAACCCAAATCAGTGAATGTGAGGCAGGGATATGGTGGCAGCCAACCTTCTCCTCGCAGGAACAGAGAAAACCTGACAGCCCTGTTGTGGGTGCACAAGTAGCCCATTTCCCACCCTGCAGGTGCATCTCCCCCCACTCTGGGTGAGAGCCAAGGGGCAGTGTGGTCGTGCCCCAGCCCTGCCCTGCAGCCTGGGGCAGTGGAGCAGCGCATCCCCCAGCACAGTCCCTATCCACACCACTACAAAAAAGTTTCTCTCATTAAGAAACAACTAAAAAAATCAGTATTAGGAAGAGTTGGGATTGTACAAAGAATCAAGTAGCATTAGTTGAACTAAAATTCAAGTCCTACTCAGCAGCTTATAAAATTAGGGGAAAAAAAAAGAGGACTGGAAGTATCAGTATGAAGATGGTGCATCCCTGTGACACCCCTCCGTCCCCATCTCACTGACCTTGCTCAGGCCAAAGCCCCAGCAAGGCGCAGCCTGAGTGCCACCACTCTGTCCCCACACCCCTCTTTGCAAGACCACGTCTGTCCATGGATAACAGCAAAGCCCCAGGCCTAGAGGTCCTGCAGCAGTGCAATAAGGTCATCCTTGTTCTTCAACAGGAACTTCTCACAGGCCTTGAAGGTGGCACAGAAGTTGGAGGACAGCCCCACCACGTTGGTGGTGACATAGTTGAGGTACCCGGGCGTCGCCTGGTTGTAGTAAGCCACCTGTGATGAGCAGGAGACGGGTGTCACGGCTGGGCACGGAGGCTGAACACCCCAGCAGTGCACAGCATGGCCACAGCCCTCACCTTGCTCATCTCCTCTGACTCCGGCCACACACAGAAGCCAGAGCAGAGCGTCTCACCCCGTGTGTAGTTGGTGCTGGCAGGGTGCGTGGGCAGCGTCACCGACCGAAAGGCCACCACGTAGGGGTCCCTGGCAGGGGACAGCAGGGTGAGTGGGGTGCAGCCCGGGTGATGGGGACAGAGACATCACCTACTGCTTACCCTCTGCTGCAGGGTTTCCTCCGGGAGGCCAGGATGACAAAGTCCTGCGGCTTGTTCTCAGAGCTGAGTGCCTGGCTCAGCACGTGGTAGATGGCATCATCCTCATCCACCTGCTGCACCAGCTCGGCACTCCTGTGGGCAGGAGAGAGAACGGCAATGGGCGGTGAGAGCTGCTGTGCACAGAGTGCCATCAACCCCAGGGATGGGAACACACTGTTCAAGGCATGCAAACAGCTCTGGGGTGAGATGCTAGGCCCCAGGGAAGCCCAAAGGGTGTGCTTTTGGAAAGGGACGGGCGTCTGCTCCCACGCCATCCCGGCAGCACTCACTCATAGTGGCTGTCCCACTCGTGCCGACGCCGCAGGTCGGAGAGCAGGGAGAAGGCCTGGCTGGCCGAGATGTTCACCGACATCTCAATGCGGAAAGAGAGGAACTTGTCCTCCTCTAGCGTGTAGATCTGCACCTTGGGGAGCACAAACATAGTATGGCTGGGACGTGCATGGGACCCAGCATGCCTGCACTCTTGGCACAGCTCAGAGTACTCGGGTTAGTGCTGTACCTTCTCCTTCTCCCTGGCCAGCACCCAGTTGGCTTTGGCTACGAGTGTCTTCAGTGCAGAGACGTTGTTGTAGCTCAGGTACACCTGTGACAGAGCAGCATATCAGGGCCAGGGGTATCCCCCAAACACAGGCAGGAGGCAGTGCCACCTGCAGGCACACACCTTATTGCTTTGGTCCCAGGGTACAGACAGCGGCACCTCCGTCTGCTTACAGGAGACAACGTATTTCCTGCAGGAAAGAGTTTTCCTTACAGCAGGGCAAAAGCTGGGGAGTCCCTGCTCCCCAGTGCCAAGCAAGAAGATTCCCATTTCTTCCCATCTCCCATTTCCCCCCTCCATCCCGGTATCCCACTTGCTCTCACCGGTCCAGCCGAATCTTCTTCCTAGCACTGGCTTCTCTGTACCGCCTTTCTCCATCCTGATAAATGGGAAAAGCACACCAGGTTAATGGAAAAGGAGGAAAAAAATATATATTTTGTACAGTGGGTAAAACATTCAGCAGCAAAGAGCTGAAAGGTGAAGCCCTGTGCTCCAGAGATTAACCGGGAGCTATTTCAGTGTGCTGGGAGAAGGCAAAGAGCCCATCAGCTGATGTCAGTGCCTCTCTGGTAGCAGCACTGTGATCAAGGGATGGATGTTAGCTGTGTGCCACTGCAGCAGCGACACGGGGACATGGGATTACAGGGGGACTGCTGTCCTTACCCCCGGCTGGGGCACGACCATGGGCAGCGTGCGGGGCCGGCCCTCCTCATCCAGCACCACGAAGGTCATGAAGGCACTGTTGATGTGCCTCCGGCTGACAGACATCTCCTGGTCATAGGCCTCGGTGCAGACCCCCACCTCCATGCTGGGGGGGGGAGAAGAAGAAGGGGTGAGACATGGGGAGCCACGAGAAAGACTAGAGGTGCTGCCACCAGCACTCACCTGTTCTTGAAGGCGTTGTTGACGATGGCCTTGAGCACCAGGCGGTCCCCGACCTGCGACGGCCCGCGGAAGTGGAACATCTCGATGGCACGCAGCGTGGGGTGGGCATGGCACAGCCGGCTGCAGGGCAGGTGTCACTCCATGCACCATCCCCATCACAGCCAGAGCCAGGGGACCCTTGTGGGAGCTGTGCCTGTCCTTCCCTAGCACCACCGTGTGCATGTGGGACTGCCAACTCCCACTGCCATCCCTGCGTGCCGGTCCCTGT